GTGTGTGTACACGTGTGTACCTTGCCCACCGTTTCCGTGCCCACCTGTCCTCTTTGGGAACAAGGGTTGATGTTTGCCAGTATAAATTGTCACTTGCTGACGGTTAGGAGCATCCCTGCTCTCCCAACCCAGAGCCGCCGCGTCCCCTGCAGGCGTGTGCTCTGTAGGGCTGGGCAGCGCTACGTAACTAAAACTTAAACTGGAAAGCTGGCGGTGGGGATTGTGGGGGTAGGAAACGGACGGTTTTCAGCAATACGCTTGGCAGGAACGGTCCTGAATTCCTCCTGGACTCAGCGCCTAAGATCTGCATGCCCTAGGGTTTACAGCTACAAAGACAGGGAGGTACCACCTGCTACAGGGGTACTGAGAAAATCCTGCAGCCACGCCTTCTCCTCGCGGCTTCCCAGGGCCGGGAAGGACTCAGAAGTTGGGGCTGTTGTGTGTTTGTTACTACGTGCGAGGAACTCGAGTCCACCAGGACCTAACGTGGACACCCAGGGCTTTATTAGTTTTTCTTCAGTGCCCCCGGTTTATTTAGAGAGTTCCCTGTGCTCTAGGGGGAAAAGCAAACCACGAGCAAAAGTCCACGCTCTCCCTACCCTGTCCCCACCGGTTTGTATTTGGGCCGTGTTTACACCCTCACAGCTAAGTCTACATTAGTTCTACATTAGTGCGTGTCTCTGAAAACTTTTTAAAATGCCCACAGAAAAAAAAGTATGCCTTTTGGTCAAACAACCAGCTTTTCAAACTGATATCCTCATCTGTTTCGTGTTTGAAACTTGACGGCCTGTATTTTAAGTGCCTGATAGGATTGCCTGGTCGTACTGTAACATCATGTAGCCTACGCTGAACCCCGTAAAAAAAAAATCCTCACGGTTCCACTTGTAAACCTCTTTATAACTGAGACCTTTCAGGTGGAGTTACAGGTGGAAATAATGATAATACTGAGGGTTTTTTTAAATATGAAAGTAATTGTTCTACCTGAGGCTGTTTAAGCTCTCTTTCACATCTCCTCGCTGTTGATTAGTTTTTAGGGCAAAAGCTGTTTTAAATTAAAAATAGTTCACTGAAGGTTTTAATTTTAGGCTTGAGAGTCATGTCAGTAAAATGAGTGACTTAATTTGGTCCTCTGCCCAGCTACAAATCCAGTTAAAATAGCATATTCAAATAAGGGTTTGAATGAGGGTTTAGGCTATGGGGTCACCTTATTAAGTTGCTTGCTTTTAGCCCCAGCTCTGTAACTTCCTAACTCCCTAAGCTCAGGTGCTGTATCTCTGCAATCTGGATGAGGTATTTCCACTACTCTTCCCCCACCCCTTATTGAAAGTGGACTTTTTTTCCTCCTATGTTTCCCCTTCCTCTACTCCTCCCAGTTCTTCGCCACTTCCCCTTCCATCCAGACCCGCTCCCTTTCTTTCTCTGATTAAGAAACAAGCAAGCTTCTAAGGGATGATAATGAGAAGAAAGAAAAACCAGTTCATCGGAATTAGACAAAACAAACAGGGAAAAGAGCCCGAGAGAAGGGACAAGAATCGGAGACCCACTTGTTCGCCCACTCAGGAATCCCATACAAACACTAAATGAAAGCTTTAATATACACACGGGGGGGGGGGGAGAGCACCCATTACAGACACCTACCGGCCCAGTGCATGGTGCCTCAGTCTCTGTGAAGTTCTTGTGAGCTTCCCTTGTGGTGTTTCGAGGTTGTGTGTGCGTCCCTTCCATCCCCTGTGGGTCACTCAATATTTTTTTTTCTAGTTCCATCCATCTACCTGCAAATTTCGTTCTTTTTAATGACTATGTAGTACTCCATTGTGTAAATGCACTGTATTTTTTTTTTATCTATCCTTCTGTTGAGGGACATCTAGGTGGTTTCCATGTTCCCAACTATTATGATTAGAACAGCAATGAACATGGTTGACCAAGTGTTTCTGTAGTAGGAGGAAGCATCCTTTGGGTATATGCCCAAGAGTGGTATAGCTGGATCTTGAGGCAGTAGATCTGTTCCGGTCTTCCTGTGGAACCACCACCCCGGTTTCCATAGTGGCTGTACAAGTTTGCACTCCCACCAGCAATGGAGGAGTGTTCCCCTCATTTCAGATCCTCGACGGCATGAGCCGTCGCTTGTGATTTTTATACTAGCCATTCTGTCAGATAGAAGATGAACTCTTGAATTAGTTTTGATTTTCATTTCCCTATGACTAAGGATGTTGAACATTTCATTAAATGTTTTTTGGCCATTTGAGTTTAGTCTGTTGAGAATTCTCTGTTTAGTTCTGTACCCCACTTTTAAATTGGGTTGTTTTCTTTGATATCTAGTTTTTTTAGTTCTTTATATATTTTGGATATTAGTCATCTAATGGGTGTAGAGTTGGGAAAATCTTTCAATTCTGTAGGCTGCCATTTTTTCTGAATGACTGTGTCCATTGCCGTGGAGAAGCTTCTCAGTTTTCTCAGGTCCCATTTATCAATTGTTGATCTTAGTCCCTGTGCTAATGGTGTTCTGTCAGAAAGTCTTTTCCTGTGCCACTAAGTTCAAGGCTCATTCTCCAATTTCTCTTCTGTCAGGTTCAGTGCATCTGGTTTTATGTTGAGGCCTTTGATCCATTTGGAGTTGAGTTTTGTGCAGGATGGTAAGTATGGGTCTTTTTTGCATCTTCTAGGTGCAGGTATCCAGTTTGACCAGCACCATTTTGTGAAGATGTTGTCTTCTTTCCAGTGTGTATTTCTGACTTCTTTATCAAAAATCAGATGTCCGTATGTGTGTGGATTTATGTCTGGGTCATCAGTTCAATTCTTTTGATAGACATGTCTGGTTTTCTGCCAATGGTGTTCTAGTTTTATTAGATAGCAATACAACTTGAAATTGGGAGTGATTACACCTCCATTATTGTTCAAGATTATTTGCGCTATCTTGGGGTTTTTTCTGTGTGTGAGGCTGTGCATTGTCATTTCCAGATCTGTGAAGAATTGTGTTGGCACTTTGATGGGGGCTGCACTGAATCTGGGAATTGTTTTTGGTAGGATGGCCATTTTATCAGTATTAAGTACTATCGTGGATCAGTTTGCTACTGACCAATGAGCATGGAAGATCTTGCCATCTTCTGGTATCTTCTTTAATTTCTTCCTTCAGTGCCTCAGACTTTATCATACAACTCTCTCACTTGCTTGGTTAGAGTTACCCCTATAATATAACATTTTATATTATTTGAGGTTCTTGTGAAGGGTGTTATTGGCTTGATTTTTTTTTCTCAGTCTGTTTGTCATTTGTATATAGGAGGACTACTGATTTCTGTGAGTTAATTTTGTAACCGGGTATTTTGTTGAAACTCTTTATCAGCTCTAGGAGTTCCAGGTGGAAATTTTTGAATCACTTATGTATGCTATATCATATGCAAATAAAGATTCCTTGGCTTCTTCCTTATGCTTCCCTGGCTTTCCTTGGTGTCTGTTATATTCCCCTTTTATTTCTGCTTTTGTTAATTTGGATATTTTCTCTCTTCCTTTTAGTTAATTTGGTTAGGGCTTGTACTCTTACTAACTTTTCTCAAAGACCCAACTCTTTGTTTCATTGATTTATATTGTTCTCTTTGTTTCTATTTTATTTATTTCAGCCCTCAGTTTGATTATTTCCTGCCAACAACTCCTCTTGGGTGCCTTTGCCTCTTTTGTTCTAGAACTCTCAGGTGTGAGGTTAAGTTGCTAGTATGAGATCTCTCCAATTTTTTTTAGTATGGGCACTTAGTGTTATGGACTTTCTTCCTGGAACTGCTTTCGCTGTATCCTGTAAGTCTGAGCATAAATCCATTTTAATCACTTCTAGAAAGTTGAATATCTTTCTGAATTTCTGTCTTGACCAATTTTTTGTTCAGATGTAAGCTGTTCAGTTTCCAGGAGTCTGTCTATGTACTGTCTGTTGTTTCTGTTTTCGCTGATACCCTGCTTTAACCTGTGGTGCTTAGGTAAGATGCAAGGTGTTGTTTGCATTTTCTTGTATCTGTTGAGGCTTGCTTTGTGTCCAAGTATGTTGTCAGTTTTGGAGAAAATGTCATGTTATGTGTTTACCTTAATTGTTCTCGTATTAATAAAAAACTTGAGAGTCAGAAGTTGAGAATTAAAAACCTCTTTAAAAACGAAAGAGCGGCATTCCTAGATTGAAAAAGATTCCAAACCTCCCCAAGCCCCCTTTCATCTTTTCCTGTGCCTGTCTGACTTCCTCAGTCCTCCAGCATGTCTATGGCTAATCTGGCCAGCCAGTCACTGACTCTGCCTTCTGATTCAAGGTTTAACTTTTTTAAAAGTCCTGGAGTGTCAATGTGAATGACTATCCCACAAGATTTCCCTATTTTTGTCTAAATAAAAGGAGAGGTTTTTACCTCTTAACATAATAAAATTATATACAATGAGAAGTTATCAAGTATTGGCTAAATAAAATGGAAAGTTTTAAGCTTAACAGAGTAAAACTGTGTACGATAAGAACAGTAATCAAGTAATAATCATACTCACAATGTCCAGTCAATTTGCGTTCAGCAAACTCAGAGAAAATCCTCCATTATCTATCTGATCTCGATGAGTCCAAAGTTTTGTACCACATTCACTTTCCATCCTAACCTGTATTACCAACCTAAAACTATCTCTTTAGACCTCAAAACATTTTCCTAGATAAACCACTAAGCTTTTATGTCTCAATCTTACATACTTTACACCTCTTTTGTGAGTTTCTTTTCTGAATTTGATAACAAGGAAAACTATAACTATCTAGTCTTCAATACCATCAGAGTGCCAAGAAAAAAAACTCCATATGGAGGTTCTTCAATGCCCCTCATTCTTTTTAAAGTAAATTTGTGCCACCAGGAACAGACATGCCTCACTGTCGTAAAAATCTTATGTTATTAAAGCATCTTAGATATCATATTCTGTAGATCTCGGAAGTATTTGAAGATCATCTATGTAAAATATATCTGTTTGACCTTGGAAACATATCTAACATGGTCACAAATTTGATTGTTAGGTGATTAACTACTAGCCTGTATTTCTTAATTATCCTGAATAGTTTGTAATAATAGCTTGCAATGACTATGAATTTACATTATATTGTTAAATGAGCTGCATAAATGCAATTCCTTAAACAAGAGTAGAAGCATTTATAAAGTATAACAAAAATAATCTTAAATTTGTGTCATGTGCAAAAATCCATACCAGTGTAAAATATTTAAAACTAGTAGTTGCCTTTTCATTAGAAGTAGATTTAATAATCTACCCTTTTATCCTGTCATTCCTATTTCCCCCCTTTTACATTTCAGAATGAGATCCTTGAATCTAATTTCCTTTGCTTAGTTTCCTCCTTGACCATAAGGACTTGCAGTTAACCCCCCAAACAGTGAGATGACAAACATCCACCAGATGACCAGAAACCACCCACCACACCTCTTAGGAATATGGGAGTCCTGTTCTTAAAATTACTCCCTGTTATCTGGGGGTGATAATATCTTTAGGGGACCCTGTGAAAATTGAGATAATTTCAAGTCTTGGGAGAGCTAGCTGTTGTCCAATCTCAGTGTGATGGGAACATACAGGGCTTATCTGAAGTCCTGGCTGGAGTAGTCTGAGGCTGAACCATCTTAGCTAACTGCCTTGAAATTGTCCTGAGCAGTTCATATTCCAAAGCTGATCTTTGGGTGGTGTTTGTCAGCTTAGGGGCGTTACCACAATCCAGATGGAATCATCATTTGTGGGGCCCCATCATCCTTTTGGGGACTTCAAAGGTCACTGTTAGGAATAGCCATAGTTCTGCAGAAAACTTAAATCATTTTAAATGTCTCATGCTGCAGATCTTGGAGGGGTTAAAGGACCACAGTCTATGAAATATAACTGGGATACACAAACTTAATTCCTAGTTAACTGCTTCAGACTCAACCCCAAAATCTCATATAGAAGACTAGATGAAGCCTATTTCTAGAATTAGTACTCTGAATGACCATTAATATCAAGACAGAAAGTTTAAACATATATATATACGAATCTTAAAAATTTTGAGATAATATTCTCTACCTTAAGAAAAGTTTTAGAGTCAAAATAAAACTAAAGGATTATGAGATTAGTAATAATAGACTAGACCCTTCATTTTCTTTTTTTTCTGCCCCATACCAGGTGCCTCTTCTGACATGAGACAGATATTTTAGATTTTTCTTTAACAGGCATACTTGGGTTTAGAGAAGGGAGAGCCATGCTCCAACTCCAAAGCTAGCTTTAATTTTTAAATGAATTGAGACTGCAAAAATACCATTTGCCTACATGTCTATAGAGAACAGCAAAGCAAACATTTGGGAACATTTATAAAAATTTATCCTGTTGGAAATGTTCTATTCCATTAAGCCAATTTACTTTTTTTCTGGGGACACTTTCTCTGGATGATTCGTCCTTTTTCTTCAGATAGCCCATTTTGCCATGGTCTTCAGATTCTCTAGTTGGACAATTTTATTCTCCTGGAAAGACATAAGCAAAATCCTGCCCCAACCTAACTTTGGGGAGTTTCCTCTTTTGGCAGATTATAGCTGATCAAATGAAAAACATTTGTTAGTTTTATATGTTAGTCTAGATTGAATGGCCATGCTGTTTGATGACCCTATCACGTTTTCTAATCAAGAGATTTCTACTGTTCAGATCTAATCTTTATCAATCTTGATGGTATCCACAGTTTTTCTTCTCCCGTGGAAACAGAAGTAAAACCTCTTCTCCAACATAACGCATACTCTGGTTTCCATTCTGAGGTCAGTCAGTACATCTTTAAGGTATACAGGCTGATTTAACTCAGTAATTTTTTCTACTATCCAATGTCTCTACTCAGTTGTCATTCTTTTCTCATTAGCATTAAAAATTGAGGTTAATTAAACATTGTGTAATCTATGGGGGTCTTTATTATCCCTTTCTGTTACTAGGCTTCTCTTTTCAAGTGCGACTGGATATTTCTATAATTGCTTTCCCTGTAGAATTGAGTGGTATACCTTGAAATATGCTTTATGCTGTAATATGCAAAAAACCTGTTTCATTTTACAAGAGACATATGCTGGAGCATTGTCAGCCTTAATTTGTACAGGTATACCCATAATGACAATAAATGTGTGATCACATTTATTTTCAGAACTCAAAGCAGTTTCCCATAGAAAACCTGAATAGCTATCCATGGTGTGGTGCACATACTTTAATTTTCCAAACTCTGTAAAATGGAACCCATATACTTGCCAAATGTAATTTCTTTGGGTACCCTTTGGGTTTCTTCCTGAAGGTAGTGTGATTTGGTTATACAAAGAACAAGTAGGACATTTCCTCATAATTTCCTTGGCTTGTTACCAAGTGATAGAAAAATTTTTCTTCAAACCTTTGCTGTTAACATGGGGTTTCTTATGAAATTCTGAGGCTTCTAGCACATTTCCTATCAATAGGTAATCAATTTCATCATTACCTTGTGCTAGAAGGCCTGATAGACCTGTATTGGGATTGGACATATGTTATATATAAGGAATTATTTCTATGTATGCTTATTTCTTGTAATTGAATTAATAACAACATTAATTTTGAATCATCTGGAATAAGTTCAGTGGTTTCAATATGTACAACAATGCTTTCTGCATCT